ACTTTTCAGTAACATCACTCATGTGAAGTTTATGAAGAATTATCGTAGTCAAACTAAGTAGGCTTTTACTGAAAATTCCGTTTCCCCACTATGATTTTCAAAACTGAATTGATCCATTTTTGATGACATGTAAGTTCTTGACACGGACGACTGAATATTGATAATAGTATCAAAATAAACTCAACAACTCAGTCCTAAAAATAAACCTTGCGAAAATAAAATACTCTATCAAAAAATTATGGTTGTTGAACGACACATGATCGCTGTAGTAAATGAAAAGAAAGATACTATGAATCATGTTGGAAGTTTCACTGCTCACTTCATATTCAGAGGAAAAAGCCGAAGAAGAATGAGACATGAGGGAAAAAAGGAAGTTAACAGAAATAAGATGATAATAATATTAAGGTAAACAGAAAGGGGTGTGAAAGAAAATAATATTACATAAGTGAGAATCAGCATAACTTACATGATTTCGAAGCGTAAAATTGAATAGATTTATTTCCCTGTTGTTCGCTTCTAAATTAATGCAGCTGTACTTTTCATTGGTTAACTCTTAGTTTCTTGAAAACAGCTGCACTTTACTAAATGGTTTGGACTGACAGTTAAAATTTTTCTGATATCGTAATGTGTATTAAATTGATTGTGAGCTTTATTAAAAGGTGGTTTAATTTCAGCGAATATAGTACTTGTGCAAAGAAAATGCCTTCCTATGTATAAAACTGGTTCAATATGTAACCCCCCCCCCCCGAAGAACCTTCTTGATATGAATTTTAATACTAATTATCACTGAAATATCACTGAAATTATTGGCAAAAAAAAAACGCTTCTATTAAATTATTTACTTCTAGAGGGACAAAATGTTCAGTTATTCAGGTAAAATTCAACGAAGCTGGTAATCACTGACGCAATGCTGATTGAAGTATTTACGTTTCTTCCAAATGAACATCATAAGGGTTATTATTTAAAACAGATCAAACAAGCCTGCAACTAAAAGACAGGGATCTGTTAAGAACCAAAAAGTACTACATAGATGACTCTTCCTAGTGTGAAATGTTTCATTAAATACCAAAACATCTGATAGTTTCATTCCGATCCAATGCCTATTAATGACTGGTTTAAGGAAGTGTTCTCCAAAATACTAAATACTTAGGTTGATAGGTTGTATGGATCATTATTCACTCACGATATGAGATTACGATGGTGCCAGAAAGGATTTGCAACAAGGAATTCTGGTGATAAATCAAACAAAAACCTACTACCAAACAAATATGCAAAGGCAAATGGAGATGAAGTTGACACACACTGAAGAGACTGTTTAGTGACACTGTGAACCAGGTTATAGGGTGGAACCCAAATAGGAAACCACAAGTCTGGCGTGGGGCTAAGGGTGACATGAATAAGAGGAGGAAATGAAAGGACTAGAAGGAACAGGATTAAATGGAAATGTGCTGTTGAAATGCTATGTTCCACCTGGAACCAAACGGAATAATAATATTAATCCGTGAATTGATAAAAGCCTAAAATTAGAGTTTACTGAATTTCCTTTGATTGACTAAATGGTAACCTGTTCAAATTAGGGACTTGATGGTCTTGAGTTGGACACTTCCCAGATGTTCGTAGGCACCAAGTTGAGGAATTCTTTTACAGTAGTACAATGATTTTTATTTTTTTCTATTTGGTTTTACTGCAGCTGACAACGGGAAAGTGTGTATGTGCGTGCATGAACAACAGTAATAATAATCTTTTAAAATAAGACTCTCCTAATTTGATCTTGACAGTCATCTTTTTATGAAAGAGGTTATTAAATAAATAGTGAATGAGCCTTCAACAAAATGCTACCCTGCACTATTGATACCTACACTGATAACTGAATTCATATTTATAGTTAGAGACTAGATTTTTTTGTCTTTTTCACTTGAATGCCGATGTGTATTTAGTTTTAATGGAGCCAAGTCCCTAAATTCAGATTTTGTATGATTTTTACTACTGCTACTAACACTACTTTTTAGATGGTACCAATCTATTCTCTTGATGACTGTCACGTGTATTCATTGCATCTGTGTATAACACAGATCAGCACCTCACTTTTTAACACTATAGGCTCTAATGTGCACAGACATGTACATATGTATACAGTTTTGTTGAACCACTTTTGATTGCTATTAAAGTGTTAGCTGACAATCTCTCAACAATCAATATATATATATATATATATATATATATATATATATATATATATATATATATATATATATATATATGTTTTCGGAAGTATTAGAAATGTTGAACTTGTTATATCTTAACAACAGATAACAACAAAGTACTGCATGAACCTATGCTAATTCAAAATGAATTTGATATGTATCCACATATATATATGTGTGTGTGTATGGTGATCTCTCTTTCTGTTGCTCGCTTAGTCTGTGACCATTTCATTTTGATGAACCTGTCTCCTTTAACAATGTATATTCCCCTTATATTATATACAATATGAGTGTTTGTTGACAGTCCGTCGCTTGGTGACAGATATCCATATTATATGTGTGGTTGTTGACTTGTCTGCTATATTTTGCTATGTATACATGGATCGATACTTCATTATAATTAGCCATTCATGTTAAGACTGTCTATTGATTTGTTCACACCCTTGTCTGGACATTCATATATATTTCGCTCTCACAATTTGTGTGACTTACTTTGGTGTGATACCACTTTTGCATTCTCCTTGTGTTTGGAAAATAGAAGTATCATCGCAAACCTAGTGGTCTTCTGATTTCCGCCTTCTTGCGTCAGGACTATTAGTTTCTCGAACAGTCCATAACAATAATTTTGCGACGAGTACATAACAATTTGGCGACGGGGAAAGCTACTATTAACCACTCAGCAGCAGCAACATAACAAAATTTCTCATAAAAAATGATACCAACGGAAGAAAGTGACTTCTCTTGATTTGGGATACGACGTTTTACGGTAGTGACAGTAGTAAAAATTTTCGGTATTGATAATTTAGTAACCTTATTCAGTTAGCAAGGTATCGGTTCACCTAATCATGAACCCACTGTTGAAAATGACTAAATACTAGACAAAAGTCTGGAATCACTTTAGGACTTATCGAGAGGGAGAATGACGGATTGAGTTCTTGATCCGGTGAGATAGATCAAATCCGTGCATAATCAAAACACATAGTGCTAATGTGGTGAAAATCATCAATGCAACCCATTCAAAGTGGCAGTATCATAGATTAAAAAAATATCAGTAGTTGTTTTCTAAAAATATTCAAGAAATTCATTTATATCGGTGCCGAAATGAGTTTTTCTTTCCTATGGATATTTGTAATAATGATTAGTTGTTTCAAATACTTAAATCACCTAGATATTTATGTAGTTTTCATTGCTCCATTTTAGAAACGTTCTTGATGGTAATAATAATTTCATTTATATTCATACTTCAAGATTCAACCTATTTTACAAATGGATCATGAGTTAATTCTTTTAACTGAGTGAATCAGTCAAATTTCTTAAATGCATTGTTTTACGACAGTTTCCACTGAGTTTACATTCTCTTGTCTTTGAAATGCAATAAAAACTTCTCTCCTAATCGGAGTTTTACTCTACAGCATTTGTTTCATAAATTATGAAGGAATAAAATAAATACGAACTATGACTTCTTTATAGGACTATCTCTTTAGTTTATTCATGTCCGTTATTTAGTTGGATACATAGTTTATCAATTTCATTCAATGAGGAGACTTCTTTCTTTCCTGTCTCATTCCGTTTGCTTTCCTAGTGCACCATAGGGCTTTCAAGAATTTTTAAGCTTTGAAGTTTTAGTAGCGCTTGTGCTGTATTCACGGGGTGGAGTTGTTAGTTTAAAGCTGAACGTTCCCTCTTTTTCAAACTTATTAACGGCCCAGAGAGGTTTAGGAGTGCCTCAGCCCGGAGTTAAACCCAGAAGTCATATATGGCTGGCATGCATTCTACCCATCACTAACAGGTAGTGGCTAAATAGTCAATGAGCCCGCTTCGTGACCTGAAGATCTTACGTTCGATTCCCGGTGGGGTCGATGAGGATACTGATTTGACATTATAGGACAGTTTTGTGAAAGAGAAAGCCCATGTTTCAGTGAAGTAGATTACTGTAATAAAACTTCTAAATAAATATATTCACAAACTAACACTCATTCGGTTTTCTTTTCTAACTCTGTTGTAAACTGTCAATATTAATCTGAAAGAGACTAATGAATTTTTAGTTATCAGTTATTTTTTATAGCTCCACAGTTAAATTATTATAGAAATAAATCGTAGGAATTTTATCTACCACTCACCAATAAGCAAATGTTCCTTTCAAATCATTTCTATATAGTATTGCATTGATTGAATAACAACACCAATGCAAATATCATGCAGCAGTATTCTAACTAGCTGAGTAGAAATCACCAGGGATTATTAATATTTCTGTTGTTATTATCTGTATTAACTTCATCCTCATAATTAGACTAATTTTCAAAGTAAACAGTCTAAATCAAATTCAAAAGTTGAAAACTAAATTGAAATTTACACAGTTTATGGTGAAATTTCACCACATGAATTCTACTGATGTATGTAAGTGAAGCAAAAACGTTGTGTGAGTGACTTGATATCATTATGAGCAATAATTTGTGTTCGAAACGCCATCAGTTAATATTACTGTCCAACACTGTGTGATTTGTCAAAATAAAATCTTATCCGAAGTGGGGTTTGAAGTGACTTTGCTGTCCGAGCTGAGTCAAACTGGGTACAGTGCTAATGAGCTTAGCAGTAAATGAGAGAAGCGGCTTTCTGGTGTGTAGATCCCTTTGATCTAGCTAGCAAGCAGTACTCATCTCAACTTATCAGCTGTGTATAGTTTTACGAATAGTCTAACTTTGTTTCTGCTTGGTAAATGTATGTATTTGAGTTCTTCCCCACATAGTTTTTGTAAGCCATAAATTATTTCTTATGTTTCTTATTTCATAATAATAGGTTGATCGAATATCTCCGTCACTTGTACCCAGTCCAACAGCAGGTGCTCCAGCTTCATCACCATCAGAGCATTTGAATAAAAGTCAATCTGGTGCTCCATCACCAATGGTTTCTTCATCTATGCCACCGAATTCATCAACACCTGGACTTCCATTACATAATCTATCATTGAATTCATCATCTGCTAGTACAAATGTTCCAAATCGTTTAAGACCAACTAAAGCTGCAAATAATAACAACAACAACAGCAACAATAATAATAACATAACCAATAATGTTAGCAATTCTGCTACAAATAACAACAATAATAATCAGTCTCTTGGAGTTGCTCATAGATCTCATCCAAATCAGTTACCTTATTCTCATCACCAACATTCACATCAAGCACGTGAACAACTACAATCCTCCAATGGTATACAACACCAACGACAGCATTCACAAGGTCTTCCTACACAATCTCAACCTTCAAGTCAATCACTTGTAACTCATTTTCGGTAAGTTAATTATTTACATAATCTCGTTGTTTAACGGATGAAGATAATGCTGATACACTTAGAAGTTAACAACAACAAGTGGCGGTGGTACTGCCAGCTCAAAGCCTAGTAGGCATGACAAAAGTTCTCACCCATGACCCACTAGCAGAGAATCGACAGTCTAAACCAACAGGCCATGAAGTCATGTCAGTTTACGCCATTAAATACTTGTGATGTAATTTGAGCACCGCAGTATTTTTTAACGATAATCTTTTAGCGTAATTCAGTTTAATAAGCCCAAAATTGAGTGTAACGGGATCATCATCAAAGATGAACTTAAATTCTGAGTTAGAGCAGAATTCAAGTCAGATTACTGGATATATTCTTTACCATAGATTCTACCTTAACTCGGGATCCCTTTTTAGCTTTATTAATCATCTTATTATACTCTAGTTTAGCCTCCAGGTTATCTTAAATCTTTCCATCAATAATATAACATTACTTTTAAAATGTTTAAAGCAGTTAACATCCGTTTGCATTAGCTAATATTTAAGGGTTAGGTTATATATCCACTGAAATACGAATTAGTGCATCTCTGATGGAGATAAAATTCGGCATCATTTAGCTTAATTCGTATATGAAACTGAAATATGAGGAGAGAAATCCTAATTAATAAACTGCAAATCATAAACTGTAATCAGACCTATTAATTAATAGAAAAATAAAATAAAACTGCCGAGATACTACAAAATGTACACAGTACAGATGTGTTGCTTTGGATGCAATAAATATTCATATGGAAGTGTGGTGAGAGCAGGCTGCTAGCCGATTGGTAGATATTAATTTACGTCAATGGCTAGGTCACTAATAATGGCTGTGAGAAAATATGAACAAGGCTGATTCAACAACCAATCACAGCAGACTTGACGTGGGCAAATAAAATTCGCAGGTGTATGGCTTAACTTTCCGAGAAACCAGAAACAACCAATCAGAAGACTGTGTTTGTCTGCTTGAATAAGCTATGATAACGTACATGGAATATATATAAATACGTGCTGATTTCCGTAATAAAACGATCTGTTACCGGCCCTTGTCTTCTGTTGTTACAGTAGTACTCTGATTACAGGGTGTTGTTGAGTTATTAAATTACGTATATTGTTCAATCAAAAATCATCAGAATTCATCTCTCTTATGTAAATGTAAGTTTCTTTAACAAGGTAATCATTTCATGCCTTCATCAGTGAAAAGTCTGATAATTATTTCCTTTGCACTATGCAATGTAATCCGTGGATGTACAATATTTTCGAGGGAATTTTCGTTTTCTGCATTTTTCGATTAAATGTGTTTGTGCTATTATCTTTTATGACTGTTACTGTCAATCTCTTTCTACTGATATGCATAGCTGTTAGTGTATTGTTGATAGACCTTAATGATTAGTGGTTGAAGACGCTTGGTATAATAACTCCAGTATACTTAACTTTCTTTTATCATCGAAATTTTGAATAAGTTGATTGACCTCTGTTTAATTAGTCTATCATGTTTTCCTTTGATCGTGATGATATTTGATTTCTGATGAATTCTTCTTCGCGTGCTATTGTTACTGCTGCTAAGTGTAATTCCATTGAAATGATGTTCGTATGCGCCAAATTCTAAGTAAATCTACATGCTTTTCTGTGTTTTTAACCCCCCCCCCCTTACATCAGAACGTACAAATGGATAAGAATTGTGTCTCAGTTTCTTTTTATATGGATATGATAATAAGTTATCCGATTTAACTTGTATATTTTTTATCATTTGGTAGGCGGAAGAAAGACAAAATATGAAATCATCTGTGGCTTATTTTCCCGGTATCCCATGTTCTCACAGAACACCATTTTCGAGTAGCTATATCTGACAGCATTACCTAAATTCTATATAAAAAGGATTAGGCATTTTTATGAATAACAAAATTACTGGATATAACAGAATCATTAAAGTATCGCAGCCTCTCACTAATTCAGATATTTAGAAAAAAATTGAGCAAGGAATATTCTCTTCGATAATTTCGTCTTCTGGCTCTACAATTATATATATATATATATATATATATATATATATATATATATACATATATATGTAACAACAGAAGACAAGGGCGAAGCAACAGATCGTTTTATTATGAAAATCAACACGTATTTATACATCTTTCAACTACATTATTATAGACAAGCGCAGTCATCTGATTGGTTGTTTAGGTAGACAAACGCAGGCTTCTGATTGGTTGTTTCGGGATTCCTTGACAAATGCGAATCATATTTTGCCACGTTAACTTTGCTGTGATTGGTTGTTGACTCAGGCTTGTTCATATTTTCTCACGGCCCATATTAGTGACCTAGACCTTAACGTAGATTAGTGCCAACCAATCGGCTAGCAGCCTGCTCTCACCACATATATATATATATATATATATATATATATATATATATATAGAGAGAGAGAGGGAATTCTGGAATAACCGTCATTAATTTTAATATCTATGGTCTTCAAATGCACAATTATTATTGGTTTTATTATATGAATCAGAGAATTTAATTTTACATATAATAGGATTTTAAAACTATAGTCAAATGTAAAAATTTTCTTCGGTGGGACCTAAGTCTATCGTTCAAACATATATATATATGTATAAATTTGAATAAGGCATTTAGAACACCATTTTCGCGAGATGATATCATTTCGTAGATTCTTTACAACCGCCTTACAACTAACATCGTTAACAATAATAAAATAAAGATCATGAAATTACTCAGTTATATAAAAAACAAAAGTTCATACTAATGACCAATCATATTTATATAGGTCAAGTAGTCCATGGCAGGCGAAGGTTGAAGTCTATTGTTTTTGTACACACAGTTTAGGCTGTATGTGGTTAATCCAAAGTGCTTCCATCACCTTCAATAACCTTGAATTAGAGTTATGTAGTGAAATAATTGTGAAACAGTCATTAATATTGATTTTGTGACCTGACATTAATAAGTGTTTTGCAATGGATGATGCTGGATTTCTATTTAGATTAATCGCATTGGGATTTTCTATATGATTTAGTAGCCATTTAGAACATGTTCTTTTCGACGACATTGGAACATTCTGTTGGTTCCACCTATATAGGTGTCACCGCAACTTCAGGTGAACTCATAGATACAGTTTGAAGTAGAGTCCACAGAATTTGGTCCTTCAATCGTAGGAACAGGGATCTAAAATATTCGGCAAGTGAGAAAAAGAGATTCGGCGTAGAGCGTGCGCTTGATGGCTGACTGAAGTCTTTGAGCTCTCAACTGCATAATCTGGTCACCCTTGAATGGTAGGTTAATAAAGATAGTTTTCTTCATGCACAGAATATCTACAGAAATGTTTCATGAAGCAATGGGTAAACCTGTAAATATGTCTTGAAAATAAGTATGTTAAATGTTTAGAGGTTATCGGGCGGAAGCTAACGGACTTAGGGTTTTTGGTTGTTGGTTAGTCAGCGAGACATATCTGCAACGCTTAAGGAACCAGTAACTGAAATTCGAATTGTTATCACACAGTGCTACAATTAGAAACGTTACCACTGGTTGTGTGGGTTCATCATTGACCTCCTGTAGAAAATGTATACTTTTTTCATTTGATTGATAGTGATCAAAGAGATTAACTTTTAAAATATATTCAAAATTTAACGCACTGTATAATTTGACTGATAAAACTGAATGTATTAGAAAAATTTGGTTCACACTGTCACTTGGGTTTCGAGTAAATCACATCAAACAGAACGTTGTGTCAGTAAGTCGTATTCTTTGTTCTCCTGGCATTCAGTCACTAATATGTGGTACTCTGTAGTATATGCTTATATATATATATATATATATATATATATATATATATAAAAGATTTATAATTATTAGTTTCTTGAGTTCCTCGTGGAACATAGGGCATCAACAGCAAATCCCAACTGTACTCTATCTTTTGATGTTATTTTCAGCTAATGCCATGACTACTCACAAGTTTTCATTCATTATGTACAAGATCTCATGTTACACTTGGAGGCCCAACTTGTTGCTACACATTTGGGTTTCACTTGGGGGTCTGGCTTTTGATGACAACCAATACTTTCCTCAGCGCATACCCGAACCATCTCTATTTCAAAATTCACAAAATGGAAATCGGTTAGCGATTTGCAATCTACACAGTTTGAATGGTGAAATTTTATCGTAGTTTCCTTTGGAAAACAAGTTATTCATATCACATTATGTGATCTGCATTACTGATATAAATAGTATGCAACTACTGATCTCAATTATTCATTAATATATGGTGTTATCCACCTCCATTTCTTTCTGCATATTCGTTGGGCAATAGGTTTTTTCCAAATTCCCATTTATGCATTTAGAAAAAACTAAGTGAAAAAATATATTCCTTTTCACTCATATGATCTTCAGTATAGAGTGAAGTCAGATGTCATACAGAACCACTGACTTGACATTATTGTTAAACGGAATTTTGGTGTTGTTCCTAGTGCCGAATGAGGGCTATAGATCTATTCACATATTTCAGAGTAATGAATACCTGTATGTCTTGCTTTCTTGATCTTGGTTGGTTTTGACATCTTCACCCGTGTCACCTTTCAAGAGTGCTAGTTTTCCGAATTTCAGCTTACTTTTGTAAAGATTTACGACTCACTATGTGACACTGATGATAATATCTGATTGTTCACAGTGTCTCGACTCAAACTCAAGTGGATATTCACTTTGATAATAAAAAAGTTTTAAACATAGTGATAAATATTATTAAGTTGTGGTGTCACACGGTTGGTTATTTTCATGCAATCTATTTCCTTATTTTAGTTTTCTATTTCTCCGACTATGTTATTTCTATGTTACTGTCCTCTGTAATTTTCTCTGTTATCTCTCCTGAAGGGAGGGTGGCACAAAATTCACTTTGTTCCCAATATTATAGAAAGTTAAGATGAAATATTATAAGTGACTATTGACAATAAAGTGTTTCAT